CTCAGCACACCTGAAGCTGTCCTCCTCACCAGAGAGTCATGGGCCACACACTCATGGAAATCCTCCCAGATAACCCTTCAATTCTGCCTAAATGATTCAGGAGGGCTCTGATAGTTTTCACTTAAAGCTTTGCTCAAAGCTCAGCCATCATGAGGGAATCCCTTCACTGAGACCCCAATATACGTTCGATTCCAAACTCGCTCTGTCCAGGAAGTGACATCACAAACTCACCTGTGTCATCGTCATCCATTTCCCCGTTGAGCTCTGATGCGCGTATGAGTCGTGCCTCCATCACCTCCATCTCCATAGACTCCATCTGCTTCTTCATGGTATCAAACTTGGCCTGACACACAAACACACACACACAGACTCAGAGCACATCAGCTCTATGTTCTGCAGAGAAATACTCAGACCATCTGCTCACACAGGCAAACTTGAGTCTAAGAGACAGATAAACACACACCCACCAGGCATTCAGAGACAAACACATGCAGTCTCTCGCTCACACACTACATCTTTCACATTGATATTTAATATGAGACGACACAATTTGTATACGGCTCACGCTCTGCTGCATGAACTGCACTGTCTGCATTGGCAGAAAATATCTATTTCAGGCATGAGGAGATTTCCTCAGAAAACCATCAAGTCAAACTCTGTTTCTGTTCAGAAGTGTGTGTGTGTGTGGTACCTGTAGATCCTTCATGTCTTTCTCTAGCCTCAGTCTCTCCGAGGTCTCGGACTCCAGAAGTTGCGAGGCAGATTCGCCTGTGTTGCGCTCATCTGCAAGCTCTGATGACAGTTCTGTGATCTGAAACACACAAGTGTGCGTCCACTAGATGTGTCACACATGCTCTATGCAAACTTTAGAGTAGTGTATGAGCTCACCTCACACACATATCCCGCACTTCACATCTGTATTATGACACACATATTTCACACACAGATTATGGATTTTTTTGTAACGTGGTGAGATGCTGACGATGTGAGGTGTGTGACGGTGTGATTTTGTATTTTTATTTTTGATGTAATACTAGTATATGTATCGTAATAACTTTATATTGAAATGTTATTATGGATGCCTTATCTTGGACATATAAATGTATGGATGTATTATACTTGAAGTGTCATTTTATTCTTTAAGACCTATCTCTGTTTATTATGTTGCTTGTAGTAATTAAACAACAATATTCAGAAGAAAAAATCTCGTAGCTGAAAACCTTTGGCAGCTTTTATAAGTATTAATGTATTGTACTGTATCTAATAATCAAGCACTTGAAGATGGTGCCCGTCATTGTTTTGTTTTGTTTTTTTGCTATTGCTGAATGTTTATTTGAATACTACCTTTTAATTGATTTGTTTTTCGTAGTTCATTTGTTTTTAGATGTATACAGATTTATTTATTTTTTTTACAAAAAATAAGTAAAATTTCCTTTGTGTAAAAATTGTGTAAAAAAATATATATATTAGCTGAAGTATATACAGTATATTAAATGTATACTATTTAATTATATTAAATATTATTAATATATATCAATACTATATAAATTATTGTAAATAATAAATTATATTATTCAAATATTAAATATTATTGTATAATAATAATACTTTACTAATGTTTTCTTGAATAATTAATTTCATGGCATTGTTTTATTTATTAATATTTATATTAATATGTAACTTTTTAAATAAAAAGAGTTATGTTAATTAGTATAGCTCCTTTCATTTTTGCTGTTAACCTGAATTATGTATTTAATGTAACTGATTTAATTTGTTGATATTTATATTAATATGTAACTTTTTAAATAAAATGAATTACTTGGTTCCTTAATTCCATTGGCATTAGTATTGCATGTTCACGGTGTGTGTGTGTGTGTTCACTACTCACTGCAGTGTGTGTGCACTTGGATGGGTTAAATGCAGAGCAAAAATTCTGAGTATGGGACACCATACTTGGCTTCACTTCACCTCATTTTCACTTTTGCTAACTGAAATTTTGGTATGTGGTATGTGATAAACATGTTTAAACAATTGAGTTTCTTTAAATTTAATTTGAATTGAATCTGAACTGAATTTGAAGTCAATCTAAATTTAATTTGAAGTGAATTGAATTTCAGCACTAACCTTGCTTTCCAGTCGGTCACTATTGAGTCTCAACTCATTCCTCTCCTTCTCCACTTTTTCCAGCTTCAACTTGAGTTGCTGAATTTCCTCCTAAAGACAGACAATCAGAGGAACACAATAAGACAGTCAGAAAGACAGGATGACAAGATATTCTGCTGATATGTAGAGAAATGACCACAGACAGTCAGACATTGAGACGCTATGACATCCACTATATTTAGCAAAGTATAGAGATAGACAGGTGAGATCAATTAGAAACGGTAACAGAATGACAGACAGGTAGATAGTCTGTCCTGTTCAGAGTCTCTGCGACTCTGCTTCCGCAAACCTCCTCCCACTTTCCTAAACTTTTCTTTTGCTAACTTGAGAGAACTGCAGGCTACAGCCAATCGGTTACAGCTCTGAAGGCTGTTTGTGCAGAGGAGATAGTGACTCTGTATTTGTTTTTTAAAAGCAGGCTGTTTTGAGGCAGTGTCAGCACCCGTCTGTCTCTCGCAGGAGCACGCCTGACTGCATGGCTACACAAGCACTCAGCGGGACACGGCACAGCGGATGAAACCCACACGCACGCGCACGCGATCGCGCTCTGTGACATGCTAATGCACTCCCCGCGGGAAGCAGAGTTGCTTTTGATCCAGCCAGCTACATAGGTAATGTATGCATACACACACCCCTGCCACTCTCCCCACACAGACACACACACAACTCTACAAACACTCGGATTGAGGCGAAGCCGCAGAGACAGTAATCAAAGAGACGGGCGCTTTGGGTGCGACAGAGCTGCAGCTGAATTTGAGAGAGACCCCCGTGGGGCGGAGAAACCGAGAGGGGCATTAAAAGCCACACAGATGGGCTTTAAATCTTTAAATTCTATTGTCAAAGGGCAAAACCTGCACATGACATGCCTATTTAGAGCATTTGAAGTGGTTAGCGAAGATGATAAGATGATGCGTCTTTGCCGCGGATCTGTTCCTCAGTAAGCTGAACCTCGATGAGAGGACGGACGGTGGTGAAGAGCTTCCACCACGGCCAGCCTTTCACACCCCGGTTCTTCTTGATGTTTTTCTGGATGCAGCGGATTGCCAAGTCCTGGATCTGAAAAACAAAGGCATTGTGTTTATGGCTGCATGTTCTTCCTACCGCTGTGCTAGTGAGAAATTGTCAGGTCTTTAGGTCTTGCGCTTGTGAAGTACAGTAGTTCAAACCAATCAGAGGCCAGATGGACAATAGCAGGCCTGCGTTTGGAGGCCCAGGCCCCCCACGGTCAAAGAGCTTCCCTTGGGAGAACCAGCACTGAATGGACCTTTTCAGCTCCAGGACGTCCACAGTATGGTCCACAATAAGCCTGAGGGTAGGACTATTGACTCCAGGGTTTCCTGAATGTTTACACGCAAGGAACCATCTAGTGAGGCATAGCCTCAAGACCCACCAAAATGTTTTGGAGTAAAATATGAGAAAAATGATTTAAAACTAAACTATAGTATTTAAAAAAAGTTATATTATTTTTAAAAAGTTTAAACTTTATTATTTAATATAATAATATTTGTAAAATATTTTAAATGTAAAATCTAGGGAAAATGTATTTACTGTTTAAAAAATAAATGAATAAAAAAATATTTACTATATATTAACTATATATATATATATATATATTTTTTTTTTTTTTACATTTTATTCATTACATTGGATAGGCCTACTTATTACATTTATTTACATCATTTTTAGGAAGTATTTAAATGTAATATTATGAAAAAATGAATTTAAATAAAAAAAAATTAAAAAAAAAATCTTTTTAAATGGTAATTTCTACATTGTGTGGGCCTACTTATCAATTTCACAGTGTTCTCAAATTAAATGTAATATTTAGAAAATATTTAAATGTAACATTTAAAAAAAATGAATTTAATATTTCAAAAAATAAATAAACAAATACTATTTTAAAAATCATTTCATATGCCAACCACACAAATTAATTCAATTTGAGAACTTTTATTTTTCATATTTCTGGCATGAATGCACAGTCAGTCATCTCACACATCTCAGTGTGCAACCCACTTATTTCCACTCTAGACTCAGTTTGAAAAAACACTGCTCTACTCCAAGTGGAGGTAAAAATGGCCTACATACTAACCCTCAGCAAAACACCCATTACAGGTGTTGATCACAAGAAGAATAAATGGAAAACAAGGTCAGAATTCAGAAGGCTATACAGAGGAGTGATTCTGGAGTCGTACCAACTGTGTAGAAGTGCAGCTCGAAGCAAAAGCCCCAAGCTCCTTTGAGTAATTCAATTAAACTTCAATACTACTTGGCAGCTGATTTAAACCCTGCATAAGATTTACATGCTGCAGGAACAGGGACGATTCAAATAATAGAGGATTATCTGGAAACCCAATTAGACAGGCCCAATTCAGCACATTAACGCAGCCGAGTCCATGCCCGTTGCGTTTGAGCTACGTCTAATTTGTCACAGCGAGAAAGCTTCGGCACAGAACAGAGGCGGCGCGTGGCTGACATATGCACCGCAGCTCATTTGCCATGCTTTGACCACAACAAATGCCACAAACAGCCATCTAAACAGCTTGTAAGAGACGGCAAAATCAGGAAGAGCTTCCTAATTAACATGGCAGTCTGGAGGAAATGGTGCCTGTGAGCCCTGGGGCCTGGCAGGAGGAACTAAGCGTTACGTACGAAAGGATGCGATTCCAACTAAATCGGCCACAACCCTTCCAACAGGTGTGTGGGTGTGAATACGGATCAGCAGGTGGCATTCATCCACGCGTATGAACACAAGGACATTTGAGCGCACTCACACATGTCTGCAAGGGCACATGTTCACACTGTGTCTTTAGGCAACGAGTTAATTAGACACTCGATTGGCATTCGTGAAATGCCCAGCTCCCTCTACTGTAATTTCCGCTGAACATCAAAGAAACTTGGGGAGGAGCCAGCGAGCTTCAAAGAAGCCCATATGGAGTTGTTCTCCTTTCAGATGCCCCCCACAGAGACAAACAGA